GAATTAGACTATACTGCAACCCATAAAACAAAACTCTGCGATACAGTTCAGTGCCTGCGGAATAAACAAGGTGAATCGATGGGCTCATGGTCCAAGGAACGGCACGACGGTCATCATCGCGGCAGGATCTACACCGATATCTGTTGCACAGGCAGAGACAGCGGGCTTGGGTACCATGGAGCAGCAGCGGTGTGGCTGTCTCTCCTGTGGCGTATGGTGACTAGCGTAGTGCTTTCTCTGTACCTGTTGATCTTTCCAGTCTGAATTTTCCAGTCAGTTTAGGATTTTTGTTTTGCAACATCGTGGCTCGTGGGTGATGCATGTCTTTCATATTGGATTCCAAGCTCTTTTTTACATTGATGACATATATGACCTACAGTGTTCAAGCAGTTGTATTTTTGGTTGAATTTCAAATGAAAAGACTTGAATTACAGTTTCAGTTCTTTTTTTTTTACTTAGCTTGTCAATCAGTTAACTATCCAAGTTCAGCCCAATGAATGCCATGTGTTGTCATGAATGAAAGAGTCCAAGTTTACCGCAGCCTCATTTGACTGAACCTGAACTGAATTTTGGTTGAGTGTCAAACAGACACTACTTATTTGTTTTTGGCAAGGCAGATTCAGCGCAGCCTCGTTTGAAAAACAGATATACACACGAGGCAGAATATATCTTCGTTCTTGAATGATATATATATACCTTCATACACACTGTCTGATCACCAGGGCCTTCTGTTGTTGTCACTTGTCAGCAGCATCATGGGTGCCGGAGGCAGGATGACGGAGAAGGAGCGGGAGAAGCAGGAGCTGCTCGGCCGCGCCGGCGCCGGTGAGATCTCCCAGCGCGCGCCGACAGACAAGCCGCCGTTCACGCTGGCCCAGATCAGGCAATCCCGCCTCACTGCTTCCAGCGCTCGGTGATCAAGTCCTTCTCCTATGTGGTCTACGACCTCGCCATGATCGCCAGGCCTGATGATCGCGTCCCTCCTGTACGCCGCGCTGGTCTGGATCCCGGCACTCCCGACCATTCAACAGCTGGGCGCCTGGCCGCTCTACTGGGCCACGCAGGGCTGCGTCATGACCGGCGTCTGGGTGCTCGCCCACGAGTGCGGCCACCACGCCTTCTCCGACTACCTGCTGCTCGACAACATCGTCGGCCTGGTGCTCCACTCATGGCTCCTCGTCCCCTACTTCTCGTGGAAGTACAGCCACCGCCGCCACCACGCCAACACCGGCTCGCTGGAGCACGACGAGGTGTACGTCCCGAAGAAGAAGGAGGCGCTGCCGTGGTACACCCCCTACATCTACAACAACCCCGTGGGGCGTCTGGGGTACATCGCCGTGCAGCTCACCCTCGGGTGGCCGATGTACCTGGCGCTCAACACCTCCGGCCGCCCGTACCCGCGCTTCGTCTGCCACTACGACCCCTACGGCCCGATGTACAGCGAGCTGGAGCGCGCGCAGGTTTTCATCTCGGACGCCGGCGTGCTGGCCGTCTCCTTGGCCCTGCTGAAGCTCGCGTCGGCCTTCGGGTTCTGGTGGGTGGTGCGGCTCTACGGGGTGCCGCTGCTGATCGTGAACGCGTGGCTGGTCGTGATCACCTACCTGGCTCACACCCACCCGGCGCTGCCGCACTACGACTCGACGGAGTGGGACTGGCTGCGCGGGGCGCTCGCCACCATGGACCGCGACCTGGGCGTCCTCAACCGCGTGTTCCACAACACCACGGACACGCACGTCGCGCACCACCTCTTCTCCAGCATACCGCACTACCACGCCATGGAGGCCACCAAGGCGATCAAGCCCGTCCTCGGCGAGTACTACCAGTTCGAATCGAACCCCCTCGCCAGGGCCACATGGCGCTCGGCCAAGGAGTGCATCTACGTCCAGCCCGAGGATCGCAAGGGAGTCTTCTGGTACAGCAACAAGTTCTAGCCGCCATGATCCCACCAAGTAATCCCATCCATCTACCTACATGTATGATTACCTGTTGGGAGTGCCTTAGGCTCAGTCGACTGAGAAATAACTACTCTACTGTATTTACTCAATCGTCTGACGTCATCGTAGTTCTGTCGCCCGTGTTGTCGCTACCACCTACGTGAGATGTCGTCGGTTGTTTTTTCACCTCGTGCTGGCTTCTTCTTCGGTTGTTGTTTGGGCTGGGTAGGGCTTGTTTCGTAGCCATTTGCCATGAAAAAACTTGTAGTATCTTCATGTGTCCCCGTGATGATGTACAATAATACTTACCCTAGGCTGCTTTACCTTGTGTGGTTGTATTCTCTTTCGAAAATGATAAGTACCTGACGTCAGGTACGAGCACATGGCGAATCGAATGTTTTCGATGGCAATTCTAGTGACGCAAGGATAACAAGTTAGTTGACACACACTGCAATTTTCTATTTCTATTAAAAATAAACTGAAGAATGAAGTTGGCATACTTGCTAACTAAAGTTGTCATCCTCGCGTCACTAAACTTGCCATCGAAAATGTTCGATTTGCCATGTGCGCGTTAGCGCGTACCTGACCTTCGAGCGCTATCAGATTCCTTCTCTTTTTGGAACGAGATATCCGGTGAACTTTACTTTTTCTATCAGGGTACAGAACGATTTATTTTTCTTGCGTATCCAAGCACAAGAAGGGTGAGGCTGATCCTCGATCAAATTTTTATTGCAAGCAATGATTCTGTTCCTAGTAGGTGCATTCTCGAAATTATTAAGTGTGCATGTACGCATATGAGGCAAAAATACTGATGTCAGTAAAAGATTTCATCTAAATTCGAGATTCAAGATGGTTTATGGCCTAATCATCGATCTGATTCAAAATCCGTTGTCATCATAAAATTCATCACGATGAGATTTTCGATACTAGTTCTCACGTTGATATGTTCCGACGGCTTTTTTTTCAAGTCAAAAGTTACCAAAATTGTAATACGTTTTTGCTTCGACACCAGACATCCTCGCCGTAGTTTTCATTTTGAGAAGATTAGAGTATCTCCAAGTCATGTCATAAATCAGGCACATTAAACTGACGCGTTCACGGACCCGAATACGGAAGTCGCCATCCAACCCTATATCTCAAATGTCTGCCTCTAATAACTTAAAAAAAAAACTAGCAATGGCCTTTCACCAAACAGCGGCGGCCTTCAGCCATCCAACTCAGACGGAGAGGAGAGAGGGGTTGTGGCGTGGGGTGCATGGTGGCTTTTGGTTGGTCATGCGGACATCCGGACTCTCGCAAACGTCCCACAATTTTGCTTTTGGTTTGCGAAAATTCAGATGCGCGGAGGTGTCTTCGGACATATGTCGCATCACGTTGGATGGTAAAAAATGGTTTAGACATTTGCAAGCATCGTATCTTTTTAGAAAGAAGATCTTTTGTCTCATGGTAGTCTACTCTAGTCCCTTTATGAAATTTTTGTTATTGGGTCCTTCTCCTTGTTGCTTGATTCACATGGCACCATCAAATGATACAAGTCTTGAATAAGAATCTACAACGCACGAGAACGTCCTTGTTGATGATTCTTTACAGTGACTGCATCCAGCTCAAATAATGCGATATCTCACACCGAGTTCAAAGATACTTAACCCTTCCTCCTCTTACTAATATTACAAAATGTTTGTGTATATCCAACACCTGGTATAAGCAGTAATATCAAATCCAGAAGTGAATCGTACTAATTTCTTTTACGTAAGGCAGAGTTGAGTTTTGGGGGGTTTTGGTGGAAAAGTCGACAGAGAATGATCAACACATCCTTGTTTAAATAGGTCCACTAGACCTTAGCTACTTAATTTACACGTGGGCGTGTCTGCCGACGTATGTAGAGTTGGCTTTTTTGGGTTTCTAGTGGGAAAGTCGACAGAGAAGGATCAACATATCCTTGTTTAAATAGGTTCACTAGACCTTAGCTACTTAATTTACACGCAGACGTGTCTGCCAAGGTACGTGCATCGCATTGAATGGTAAAAAATGGTTCAGACATTTGCGAGCGATTTGGGGTACGCCATTGGAGATGGAGGCCCTTACAACTACAATAGGCCTGCTGCAAATGCAAAGCCTTTGATGTCTAACCCTGAACAACAACAGAACCAAGGACCAGGCTTCTTTGCTAAATGGGTAACTAGTTTGCCAGTCACATTGACGTCCATCTTGCGAGAAATTTTCTTAAAAAGAATCAGATAAGAAAATCAGTGAATGATAAGAGATCCTCCGAAAAATGGCAAAGGATGGAGCAGACGAAATCCAGAATTGAAGGGGTTGGACAAGGTGCGTTTGTTAAAGGCAGCCCCAGCTTGTTTCTTTACACATATTTTTTTTGTGGGAAAGCATGTATCTTTAGTGATCTAAACGCTTTTATATTTCTTTACAGAGGGAGTAATAGTTACATCGCTCACGAGATTACACAAAGATTACACACAAGATAGCTAGGGGGTTCATCAACCCAAGTACAGGTGTTCTTATTCCGCAGCCCAGTTCGTTGTACCACTGGTGCCATGAATTTACTAAGCATACAACTATCCTATTACTGGTGTAGTCATATGTGGACTGCAAGAATTCTGAAGAAAAAAAATACTACGCAAAACGCTGATACTACAGCTTTTATAAGGTTTTCCCAACAGATCATCAAGCTATCAAAGTATGATGTATTACCCAAGCTGGACGTAAAATCATCATAAAGTTCCAACACAACATAGTTCAGCAACTAGAGACTTTCTGACTCTTTGTTTGATGCTTGAAGCAATAGAACAAATTTCGTAAAACCGCAACTTCAATCAAGGGTTGGGGTAACAATATTGTGTCACATGTGATTATTATCATAACCAATGATGAAGCAAAATAAAACAAGATATTTATTCCAGGTCTGTTGTATTGCCCTCGAGCAAAACAAGTTACTACAGCTTTGCAAAGGAACTAGGTGCATCAGCAAAACAGACATAACAGCACGCATCAGCTCAAAAATTCACCGAGCTGGTTTGCATGATTTGTGCTACAAGTAAACAACCTTGGTCAATGCGCAGGCTCGGGCTTCTTTTCCGTTGTGTATGCATGGTACGCTTTGCCATTGTCCACTCTGGTAGTATTACCACCAACGTCCAGGATGGCAGATGTGAATGCCAGGCTAGAACCACCAATGAGGGCAGACTTAATGCTCTTTCCTGTCAATTGGCACAGTTAGAAGTCTTCCTAGACAATAATACTTGTGCATATGAATATAATTACACTAATAAAGAGGTTGTCGACATGATCATGAAACTAACATGATGGGGCACATACCAAGACTTAGACTAGTGGATTCACATGCAGTGGTGACTGATTGGAATAATGTTGACAGTTTGTGGAATATGATCTACCTGACTGGGATATCCTAGATGACTATTTGTCACTGGATCCAATATCAAAATTCTGCAAGGGATCTTTAGCGGTAACTGGATTCATATTTCTGATGCCCACATGCATGATCTGGAATAATAGCACTTGGGTTCTTCAAGTTGCATAAATAGAATCCGTGATATTATGCAGATTAATCAGGAGCCATGCAACATGCTACATAACACCAGAGTTGGACTCTGTTAGTTTTTTTCCTGCTCCATACATGCCACTAGGACAGTGTTATTCTATGGCATGGCAAACATACATAAATAATGATCTCATGATTCAAACCAATTCCATGAGTCTAATAGGCTGCCAGAGGATAAGATCTAGTTTAGCCCTATCTAATTCAGATTCATTAAAAGGCAAATGGCTTATTAACATCATTGCTGCACCTAGTTGTAAAAAAACATCATTGCGGCACCTTGATCGTTAGGTAAAAAGGCACAGGCCCTCTTTGGATGATTCAGTACTTAAAAATCTCTATATTCATAAACAATGATTATTGATCAGTTTCCCATGAAATACAATAGTTTATGAGAACCAATTTTTTTATAGTATTGAGACAGGATCAATGTGTTTGATAGTTGCAGTATTTAGTAATAGTGTTATGTCCAAAGTGTAGGAAGGTCAACTATCTGTTGTTACTCTGATTAAAAGCACATGCTCAACAACAATATCTACATTCAAGTTATAACAATAAGGAGGGCGGGCCTGGCGCAGTGGTAAAACCATGTCCACAAGTCATCATCTAGCTAGTTGTACGCAGAAATGTTTTTTTATAGTTAAATATAATAAAATATATCTAACGTAGGAATATGATCTGCTTCCTTCTTCGGGTCTTTAGGTTAATTTCTGAAGAAAAGAGGGAGATAAAACTGAAGTGGATGCAGACATGATCATCCAGAAACGTACTCGATTTTGTACCCTTGACTTCAGTTTAGCAGACTTCCAAGAATATTTAAATATTATTAGTATTTACCACACTATGATATCATAAAACTCTGGAGTTTGTTGTATCCAAACACCTCGAATTTTTCTATAACATATATCTCTGGAACCCGGCAACAACAACAACAACAACAACAACAACAAAGCCTTTCAGTTCCAAACAAGTTGAGGTAGGCTAGACTTGAAACCCAGAAGATCTTGAAACCTAGTCATGGTTCGTCCATGGCATATCTCTGGAACTCATAGTATCCAAAAACTCCAAAAATATAACTTATCAAGACTGGATTCAAATACTATTCTTGGTTAATCTTAGGTCACCATCCCTGGTTAGGAAAATATTTTTAAGTATTGAGCTTAATACAACCAGAGCTAAGCAAGGGAAGCCATTTTGCGGAAACATGACAAGTCTAATGTGAATTGTGAAATGCAGTATACATGTCTGACCCGTATCTGTCCACGCAATAACTCTTACTGCGTAGTCACCAGAAGCCAATGACTATAGGAGCATAAACTATGCCATCACCCAATATTAGGATGGGTCAATCCAAAATGCTCCAGATCTGACATATCTAAGTAACTGTTCCTCAAACAGGAGAATCATACTTTAATTTAGTGTGGTTCTCCAATATCATTACAAAGGGAGGAACACTTTCAAGCCATTTTGTGGAAACATGATAAGTCTAATGTGAATTGTGAAATACAGTATACATGTC